ATTACACACGTTAAAAAAGATGAAATTGAAACTGAAAATATTATTAACAGAAACGGTAAAAAAATTAAAAAAATTAAAGTTTTTTTTTTAAAATCAAGTTAAAAAGAATTTATGAAAACTATAATAAGAAATTGTATCAAATCCGTAAATAAAAGTTTAAAAAAATCTAGTTTTTAAGTAAAATAAAATTTTAAAAAAAATAAATAATAAGATATACCAAAATTCTAAAAAAAACACTTCAAAAAAATGAAAGCTGAAGAGGTTTGAAGAGGCAAGTCAAGTGCTGCGCCACGCAGCACACGCCCAGAGGTTTTGCAGTTTGAAGTCTTCCAAAAAACAAACTGCTGCGAGAGGGAAAGTGCTGCGCATGTGCTACGCCGCGCAGCAGAAAGTGGTTTGAAGAGGTTTTTTTAAAGTAATTATATTGAAGTAATTATATTGAAGTAATTATATTCCCTTATTGAAACATTTAAAATGAAAACAAATAGGAAGAAGGGGTTTTAAAACAATAGAGAAATGTTGTTGATGTCGATAGACAGAAAACTACAGAATTCAACTTTAATTAACGATATAAATAATGTATGAAAATATTTAGTTAACATTTAAATATTTGACGTGTCATGAATTAAATGCTATAAATAGTAATTCACTTACCTTTTTCTTATTTTAGCATATTACATCCATTCATTTCTTCTTGTTACAACATTGTACTTTAAAATTATTTTTATTAGAGCATTGTACTTTGAAAAATCTATTGAATTACACTATTTCATCCAAATACAAAGTGATTTTTACTGGTATAATTGGGTAAATATTTCAAAGTATAATGTCATAATACAAAAAGAATGAAAGTAATAATAAGAAAAGAATGAAAAATAATACAAAATTGGGTAGATTTTTTAGAAGACAATGCCATAAAAAGAAAAACTTAAAAGTATATTGTTGTAATAGAAAGAAATGAAAGTAAGATGCTATAATAAAACCTTTATTTTTTATAATGAGTTGGTAAATTTAACTTATCAAAACACAGCGATTATAGGGTTTTGAGGTTTTTTTTTTTAATGAAAAATTGTGAATTGGCTGGAAACTTTTTGGAACCTAAAAGAAAATAAAATGAGATTGATTGTCCTTCACTGGACGAAAGAAATAAAATTATTAACTACTGATTAATATAGAATTCTAGATATTATATTATAAATTTCTTATTCCTTATAATTAAAATATGCTTTTATTTAAGCTGATACAGATTTTACTTACTTATTATTCTTAAGGAATAGTCTTTTTAAATATAATTCATATGGATAAGATTTGTGAGATTTTTGTGTAAGATTATATTTAATTACATAATATTTCTTCTTTGCTTCCAATATTTTAAAGAGTTTCACAAAATTATTTTATTTATATTTTATAACTCAGAAGAATCTGGTGAAATTTGGTTCTTTTTTCATCATTTTGAAAGCAAGTTTTTTCTAAAATCGCATTGCTTACTTAGAATGTAGGAAGAGGAAAAAAGAAAGCTTCTCATACTTCTATATTTGTGCACTTCTTATATTAAAATTTATTTTATGGATTTATATAAATGTATAAAACTTCACAAAGGAAGAAAAGTTTGCAACAGTTTAATTAAATTTAGAAATTAATGTTTCAATTTCTTAAAAAAAAAAAAAAAAAAAAGCTCGGCCATATGTGTTACAAATTCGAAAATTGATCATTATTTAAGAAAAAGTTTTCATGCCATTCTTATGTGTTTAATACGTCATTTCCAAGTCAATAGTCAAACAAGTAAACACATTAATATGTACCTTTTTTTTCCTATAAATATTAAATAGTACAACAAGGATAAAACATGAGTGATAAAACCTCTTCAAATAAAAATTTGTTTACTATTTCATCCACTTCAAGACACTCTAAATTATCAGATAGAAAGATGCAAATGGTATCAGGTAGGTGATTATAATATCATAATCCATTTTAATTTCTAAGCTATAGTGTAGATTTTCAGATAATTTTGTTTAGGTGTAATCTTAAGGCTTTATAGGCTTTATAGATGAATTCAAGTGTTTCCCTTAATTTTCACTATGTTCTTATATGTTTTTGGTTTTTATGGTGAAGATATAGTCACTGTATGTTCTTTTTTAAATTTTTGGATGAATGCTCCCAAGGTGTTTGATGAAATGCCCCATAGACTAAAACCACAACAATTTTAGTAGCTGATTATAAGATCATAACCCAATTCCACATACTCTACAAATAAATAAAACTACGTTGCTATTTCTTGCAGAAGTTGAGGATGAACAATGGTGTGAAGATGAGTCATCATGGAATGGTTCAGATGAGAAACTTGATCCATCATCTGACCTAAACAGAGAATGGCAAAAAAGAAAAAACCAATTCCATGCGGTATCCTATCCTCAATTCATACAAAAAAAAAATTATATAAATTATAATAATATATAATTATTTTAACCTAAATCTTAATAATTTATTAGATTGGATATCGTGATGGGCTTTTAGCTGGAAAAGAAGCTTCAGCACAAGTAGGTTTTAATATCGGGTTCAAGGAATCTGTAATTGATGGATTTAATTGGGGTGTCATTAGAGGCGTTACTGGGTATTATTTCTTCCCTTACTTTTTTATTAAGTTTTTTTTTTTTTTTTACATTAAGTGAAGGAAATATTAATTTGTGTAGAGCTTTGGATTGCCTTCCTGATGAATTAAAAGAGAAGTTGATAGAATCAAAGGAAACAAGAAGCAAGTTTCATGAATTATATGAATCTGTTAATAATCTATCAACAACAGATGCACAAAAATTATTTCAAGATGATGGTGTTCTTGATAGTTACTCTGAAAAGCTTAAGGCTCTTATTGTGGAATCCCCTACAATTGTGGTGCAATTAAGGGATAAAATAAATGATGTTTCATCATCGGGTGAAAAGCGTTTAATTCAATGAGCTAATGAAGTTAACAAGTTAAGCCCAATTCAAGGAGAAACAAATAGCTTGTGATTAATTGCTATCTTGTTAGTTTGTTTGAGATTACTTCTTTTGATTGATAATTTGATATATGATACAAATATACTTTGTTTTATACACATATAGATGATATGATAGGGCTTCAAGATACTAAAAGGGAAAGTCGGTGGCCGGACTTTGCTTTTCACTATTTAGTCCATGGACTTTTTATTTCTATCACTTTTATCCCTTTAGTTTGTAAAAGGACACTTTATACCCTATACTTTTCAAAATTATGTTTTTACCCCTTTAAATTTTAAAACTTTCTAAATTAACACTTCCATCTTTTCTATTTTCTAAACTTTTGTGTTTACTCTTGTAGTATATATAATCTGATTTTTTTTTTAGTTACCATCCTCAACTTTATAAAATATCACTTTCACTCCCTCCTTTTTTAAAAAGTTCATTTTTTTAAAATACATTATTGTCGCTGCACCCTTACACCCCTTCATTTTATGAAATTTCATGTTTTCTCATGTATTATATATAATATGATTTTCCTATCAACCGGCTCTTTGTTTTGGCATAATTTTTTTTTTTATACATTTTCTACCTTATTTTTAAGCATTTTTTTGGCATGGTTGTGGTCCCTGACTTTTGTGCTTTGGCAACTTAAGTCCTCCTATGCATATGCATGACTTTGGTTATTGACTTTTGTGGTATGTCGAAAACTTAAATCATCCTAAACTTATATTGCTACTGAAAGAGTTCTTCAACTTAAATAAGTTACTGCTGCCGCAACGTGTGCCGAGTAAAATCTTAGTTACTTGTAATTTGTGACATACAATAATTAATATACATATTAAAGGCATAGCATTGTTATGAACAGTAACATATGTGAGGGAGGAGTTGACGAACAGTACCCGGCTGAGCCGGTACTGTTTATCGGCTTAGTTTTTATTTTATAAATATATGGTCCCTGGATTTTGTTGAGCTTGGCAGTTTTGGTTCACTTTTGATTTTTTTTTTTTTTTTTTTTTGTCGTTTTAAAAGCATCTATTTTTAACGTCTTGGGCAAAGCCCTGGATCGCCAACTAGTTTGTATTAAAAACCATAACTTCTTTCGTTTATGCAAAAACGTTACAATTTTAGCAACCCCTAAGTCGACCCACACAACATAATATCAATAGCATGCTACGTTCCACCAAATGACATTTGGCCTAGCGATGTCAAGGTGTTGAAGACATTCCCCAAGGAGTTGATGCTTCAAGTCTTGTTGTGAATAAAAGGTGTAGTTTAGGAATATGATTAGAGGGTGTGTGTGTGTGTGTTAGCCGTTCAAAAAAAAACAGCATGCTACATTGCTGGCATAAGAACCCAACAAGGAATCGACATCGGTATTGGAACTCTCACATTGGAAAATAAGCAAATTTCATTGTCGAAATTTAATGAAAATTTCATGGTTGATAAAAAAAACGGCACAATAAGAAAACTCATCACTTTGTCATGATGTGAGGAATGTGTTTTTGACTATTTGAGATCGTTTAAGAATTTCAAATGACATTTTTATACTTTTAACTTTTGGAAAGATATTTCTCGAGCAACCGGGATCTTACAAGGGGTCAAAATTGTTATTGAGAAATTTCTAAAACCATATATAACAACAATTTAAAGAAATGATGGATAAAACGACATTTTTCTACCATATAAAATCAATGTTTTTGAAGGTTTGAAAACCAGTTTCACCCAAACCGGTCCAACAGTCCAATAGACCGACGCCCCAACCAATCCCAAAATTGGAGGTTCAGCTTCAAACCGGACCAATTTCATATAAACTAGGTTCTAACATAATCTTGTTTGGCTTTAGATACTGTTTTTTTCTTTCTAGACCTTTTTTTTAGTGTTACATAAGCCTAGCACCCATAGAAAACAAACCCAATGAATATTTGAATAATATGCTACACCATTTTGTTTTATTTATTTATTTGTCTTTGGTGATATATGATTACCCAAGACACCTACAATTTTGGTTACGACATCAAATCATTGATCCTTTCTAAAAACAGTTGATGATTTCTTTTGTGCTACAGATGAATAATATGCTATAACATTTCTAAGATAAATTTGGAAAAAGAAAACACACACTAGATTAACATTACACAAACTTGATAAATGTTTAGAGGCAAGAATACCTCTACAACAACACATACATATAAGTAAATTAAACACTTCGCTATAGGAAATCAAACTCAAACCACTTTAGATTTATTAAAATCCATCCTCATAGTTGTTTGATCACACAATATGCTTCTAGTCCATCCATTATCTTGTAATCAATGTACCTTCTTCACCTGCATATGCATCAAGCAGTTTGTTAGAAAAGCCCTAATTCCTTCAATTTGCCCTATTGTTCCTGGAAATTAATGGAAATTTGTTCTTATATACCTTGGAATCAATAATCTCAGCTGCAAGCTTGCATGGGTCTTGCATTTGTAAACGCCTTTGAAGTATGTCTGTTATGCGATTCGTATTTGGGTGTTGGGATTACTTTCTCGAAAGCTTCAACAAGCAATGCAACTTTCTTCTTCCTAGCTGGTGCGAGTGTGGTGACTGCTTGTTGTAACGCGAAATCAACCATCCATTCCTCTGCGTTTTTCCGTTCATCCATCGTCTGGTGCTTCAAATCCACCGTTTCTGCATCTGGATCTGCTACTTCCGGTAGGAAATTTGGTCCTCGTAGGTTGTATTCCCCTGAATCCTCCATCTCTTTGTCAGTTTTTTTACGTCGTGTTGATTCGTTGAGATTCATGGAGGAATCCGGCAACTCCTCGCCGGAAATTGCAGGTTTCTCATCTGATTTGCTTGTAGGTTCTTCATCGATGGAATCCAACAGCTCCTCGCCGGAAGTTGCAGGTTTTTCAGGTTCTTCCTCGATTTCTGAATGTTTATCGGATTCAAAATCCATGGAGTTTGACCTACTGCATGCCGGAATTTCATCATGTTCTCTCTCGGGATCCTCCTGCGTATCGGTTAAGCTACTGGTATCCAATTGTTCGGCAGATTCGTTATCCTCAGCATCAGCCGGAAGTTCATCGGAAACCTTTTGATTCTCTTCGCCGGAAGTTTCAGGTACGTGCACACTGACAAGTTTATCTGTTTTCGTATGCTCTGTTTTTTCTCCATTGATGAAAATCGATATGTTATACTGTATGATGTTGTAGATTATCGTGGTGTGATGCTTGTTGGTTGAATCGGTTCTTTCCGGTGAGTTCCCGCCAAAATCAGGAAGAGTTTCCGACTCTCTAGAAGTTTCTTCAAGATCTCCGGTAGGTATAACTTCATCCATTTTTGCTTCGAATCCTATATTTTCATCGTCTTCCATTTCATTTTGGTGATTGATCTTCATTTGCTGATACAAACTGTCCGATTCATAATCATAATCACCCTCCGAATCAGACCACGCTCCAGAGCTCACGCTTTCTTCATCGTACAACTCCTGAAGCCCATCGTACAAGCTCTCAAAACCAATCTTCTGAATTTTCTCTTCACGTCTATCATCATCTTCAATCTCCGGCGACTTCATAGTTATTCCGTCATCGACACATGAAGAAGAAGAACAGTACCCCTCCTCCCAATCCATGGCGGAGCACTCCAAATTATCCTCCTTGTCTTTACTGTAAATTTCAACAAAGAAATCTCTGTTTTCTTCTACTTCTTCTTCTTCCATCACCGGAGTGACAGGTGTGACTTCCATTTCCATATCTGCTTCTGGACCTTCATCTGCGAAGATCACCTGCTCTGTAACAACTTCATCGTTTTTCTTCACACCAGGCTTTGTCTGACGTGGAGATAAACACCCAAGCTTAAAACTCTTCTGATTCTTCAAAGCACGTCTCCTCGCCGACAAGAAACACCTCAACGGCGGCACCGGAGCGTGGTGGTGGCCGTTGAGCGAACAGTAATTATACGGACATACCTTCATCGCGGACGTCCCTTCCAACTCAGTCCCTCCATGACTGAGTTCAAGGTAACTCGGAAACTTCGCGTCTTTCAAAGTCGACGAACACGTCGTCCTCCGAGCACTTAACATCACCGGCGAACACTTCAAAGGCCTCAACGGTTTAAAACTCGGAGTTTTCGTCAACTTCCTCACCACCTTCAAACTCGATTGTTTCACTTTTTCTGAATCACCTTTTAGAGTCGGAGTCATCTTCCGTACATCTTTCCTTGCATCGAAACTGGTGGTGGACTTCATGTAGTTGGGCGATTGCTTCTGCGGACTTGCTCTTGCTCCGGCGTCATGTGGTCTTTTCTTTCTGAGAGGCGGCGGCGGTGGTGGCGGAGAGGGGCGGGAGTCGACGGGTCTGGGTTTCTTCATGATCTTTTTGAGGTCATGGGATTTTGGAGACGATGGTCGGAGGTATTCCAAGTGGGTATCGGATTTAAGAAGATGAGTTTTGATACCAAGCTTGTTTGGAACCTTTCTTTGAACCATTGTCAAAGGTGAACCACTAGCAGAAGCATAAAGAAAAGTTAGGCAGGTTTTAGGGATATCTATGGGAGAGATTCCCAGGTTATTTGGTTATTAGAAAAGGTGATGGGTTACTGGGTGATGCTGATTTCCACTAAATGGACGGTTTGTTTTGAGGGGCATACTTTTGGATAAATATTCAATAACATAATCAGCACTTTTAAATTATATGAATTATTACACATCAACTTTATGTGATTATTATTTAGTGATGGACTACCTCCACCCTAAGTATCTATCTAAACGAGTCGAGTTGAATCTGGTATGTCGAGTTTGAAATCCGATTCGAAAATGAAAAAAACTCGATTCTAGCTCGATTGAGTTTTTAAAAATAAAATTACATTAAATTTTAATAGAAACACTATCAAGTTCAACTCGATTAAAGGTAAAAGTATAAATATAAAAAAGCCCGATCAAGCTTGTGAGCTTTATGAACTGAATTTTCCATTACTCAGGCAACCCGATAAGATACTCGAGTAGCTCGAGTTCCAATATACTTGAACATTGAGTCGATTCTAAGTATATTTTAGGTTGATCTTGAACATCTCAGAAGTAGGTTAGAATCGATCACACCCATACTTACAAGTATTTAATTAATTTACATAAAAAATATAACAATACAACGTGGTTTTGTGTGTGCATGTTGTGTAAAAAGTTCATCGAAATTCTAAAGGGTTGATTTATGACAATCCCTAGCAAATTAATTGATTTCAGTTTCAAAAAGTATTATATGTCAGGTAAGGGTGAGTGGTCCATGGATCAGACTGGACCGAACCTGAATTGGATCAAAACCGAATTAGCATTTTGTACAATTCGAAGACTAAGTTGAATATGTATATATCGTGCGTCCTGATTCAATTCGGTTTTGATCGTTTTTCAGTTCGATTCATTTTTCAGGATGTGGTCTAGGGATTGGATCGAAACCAAACTAGCATTTTTACAAACCAATAATCGAACTAAATATTAGAATATATGTATACGGTCCTGGTTCAGTTCTGTTTCGGTTGGTTCGATTTTTACAGCCCATGTCTAGATGTTTGTTCGGATAGGAAAACCAATTGGCTACGTTGTCGTCGTGAGCTCAAGTTGTGTAAAGAATTTATATCCCAAATCATAAACATGTCCTTCTGGAATCAACTGAACTAATAATGTCGTGTATGTATGTATGATAATTAATAAAGTTGTGCAAAGGGTAAATGTGAATATGTGATTCTAAATTATCACAATATCTAAAAAGAGATGATGTTTAATTTGAACTTAAGACTTTACCTTTGAACTTTTGCTTTTTTAGTGTTTAGGTAACCATGTAAGGACTATAAAAAACTTGTGTAAGATCACACACCATCTATCAGTCTTGGAGGTTTGGAGTTGTGTCCGATGTGCGTAATGTAGTTATTAGTTTATTTTTTAAACTTACTGTAATATGTTTTAATGAAATCATTAAAGTAGCTTATATATATATATATATATATATATATATATATATATATATATATATATATATATATATATATATATATATAGAGAGAGAGAGAGAGAGGGGTAGGTTCAAATGTTTCTCACATCTATTGTGTGCTAGAATGCACCAATAAGAATTTAGTAATAATTATATGTATATTAAATGTTATCCATACTTATAACTCATATTTATGGAAACTAATTAAATTTGTCATTAATGTCAACAATAATATTCTTTCAGAATGAATTCATATCTTCCATGCAATTTTATTGTATTTTAAGTGAGTGACTACTGAAACAAAATACGAACTCATATAAAAAAACTTAGATGCGAATTCATTATGAAATAATGTTATTGCTGACATTAATAACGGATTTAATTAGTTTCCATAAAAAAAGAATTATAATTATTGATATCATCTAATATACATATAAATGTAAGAAACAAAATAACCTAGCTATATATATATATATATATATATATATATATATATATATATATATATATATATATATATATATATATATATATATATATATATATATGATTTACCTTATTGATATGTTTATTGACATTTTCCACAATTCTAAAATAAATAATATATTTATTTTCCGCTATATACCTTTATATGTTTGCTATATACCTTAATATGTTTATTTTATGTCATTTCTTATCAGCTAGTTTTATCCGATGATATTGTTTTTTTTTTATATTAAAAACTAACTTTTTAGCCTATCTGTCAAATACAAACTTAAAGGAAATATGTAATTATCAAATTTATGTTTGTCCATTTGTATGCTACATTGCATGACTAGGTAATTTTAGAATTATGTATAATTTCAAAGAGCTAGTAAAAAGTATGTGAGTGGAAAGAAGGTGAAGCATGATTTTGAGATGAATTAATAACGATTAGGTATGAAGTAGTTGGTTTTGGTTAAACGGAAATTTGAATAAGTTTATTTGGTTTGATTATTGATTTTAGTTGTTCAATATAACTAAATTGAGCAGCAAACGTTTATTATTATCAAATTTTTTATTTTAAATTATCTACTAATTATTATAATTAGAAAACTGAAAAGAAGCATATTACAACGTCATTCTAGCGGTCTCCATAGTCAACACCTAATATAAAATAATTTAATCATGATATTTCTAAAAATGGGAAGATGATGTTAGACCTTATTTTATCTCTTGACTATTACTTAAATACCATCATCTTAAGCACTGAGTACGAGTATAAAAGTAAAATATAACAAGTGATAAAGATGGAATAGTATGTGCCTTAATTACATAATATTGCATTTTTTATTGATATTCGTGTCAGCTTTCGCACACGACTAATCTCTCGTATCGACTATAAGGCTTAACTCTCATAGTCCAGAGTCACTGTATTGAATATCCATGGTCACAGGAATAAATGACAACTATATTCAATTCGAACTCTATAAATGGGATATCATTCACATCCCAATAGTGGTCACTACGCAAATGGTTAACAATGTATTTATTTAAGACAATATATATTTTTTTGGAAAGAGAATTTCGCTAACGAGGGTTTTCGGGCCAGCTTTCGTGCACCGACTAATCCACCGCTGCAAATATCAGGCTTTGCCTCATGTCCTGGAGTCACTGCAGACGAACATTCATGATCATAAAGGCTGCGTAGTGTCAAATTCTGAACATCGATCAATATTATTAAAGATAGCTATATTAAGTTTTATGGGTTGTTCAACATCAAGCTTTTGAGAGTAAAAAAAAAGTGTTTGAAAGTTTGAGATTAAAACTTTGACTTTAAATAAAAGCTCTAAATCCAAAGCTAACTAAGTAGCTTTTATAAGCATTTAGTTTTTAATTTTTATGTAATTTAACACATATAAAAGGAGTTTTTAATTGTTTTTTAAAATTTTATTTATCAAATAGGTGTAGTTTTAGAAATATTTACCAAATAGGTGTAGTTTTTAAAATTTTATTTTTAGCTTTTATTCTATTTCTACTGTTTTTTAAATATATTTTTTTGAGTTGTTTATAACTTTTTTGCTATTAATGTCTATCAAATTTGTTTACATACATCATATGTCTCGTTTCATTAAGAAAGGATAAAATTTCAATTCAAATTAATGCTTTTGATCTGTTGATAGATGTGGAGTCAAACATTGTGGACGGATATGGAGTCCCGTCGTCTGATTGTGGTCGGAATCGAGAAGACGACATGATGTCGGGGCAAATGGCAGACGACGTGGTCGGGGTTATTTTATTTTCTTTTGATTTTGCTTTTAATTTTGACTTGGTATAGATTTCAACCCAAAATGGTAAATATTTTCAAAACAATACCTATTTGGTAAATATGTTTTTAAAAAACACCATTTGAGTAAACAAAAAAACTCCATTTAAAAGGTTATAACTATTTTGCCGAACATTTCTACACAAAATCATGTTAGAGTTAAAGTTTCAATTTGTAGCTAGTTTACCGAACACGTTTAATTTTTAAAAGTATTTATATTAAGATAATTATTGATTGCACAACGATCGATCAAAAGTTTAGATCTTATTTTTCTACAAGAGCACGAGAGAATTATGCTTTTGTTTTGTTTTTAGTAACACCACATCAATTAATATGATTAAAGTAGTCTACGATGATTTTGGAAAAACATCTATTGTATATGAACAAGACAAATTTTAAATTTTTCTCCATTCATTATAACATAGCCCCTATATATTGATTTCAACTTGTAGAAGTCAGAATTTATAATTTATACTGATTAAAAGTTGTAGATATGCATTATTGTGTTGCATATCTATTATGACATTTTAAATAGAGGGAGGATTTGGCCAAATAAATATTTATGCATAAGTGAGTGTAGGGTACGAAATAAAAATTGTATCATTGTAGAGACCTACATTTATTTGTCTCATTCCCCTTTACAATATTTAAAAAACCACATTTGACATCATATACAAAATCTGACAGATAATATGATTTTTAATATGTGTGTGTGTGCCTGTGGGGATATAGATAAATATTTAATTTCTATTCTTAAAACATAACAAATAATATAGTTTTGTTTACAACTTATATGCGGTAAAAAATTCCGATTTTATTAGAGAAGCTATTTGTATAATACATATTATCCATTATTAGTAAATATAAACTTACAATTGTTGAATTTCTATTGAGTGCGACATGGTGACATTTGTATTACTAGTTTAACCACTCCTCATATTTCTGTGAGTAATACCCAAATACGATAAGTATACTGTATTTTGGTTATATAATTGTTAGTTTTGATTTAGAATTTATAATAAGATTTTGATTTTTGTTAGTTTTTATAATTATGATGATTTTAAAGGTTACACTTTGTATGATTACTTGTCATGACTAACTTTTTCTTAATAATAATACATACAATTTTTTTATGAAAAAACATATACCATAACAATAGACCCGCTCCTAAATTTTAAGGTCTTTATGATTAAAGGTCTTTGTGACTACATACCTACACACCTC